AGGATAGAAAGTAGCCTATGTGACATATACCAATACACAGAGCGCCATCTATAACAATACTTTTGTTTTCCCTCGGAAATATCAATTTTTCCGGGATAAAAAGTACCCTATTATTTAATCCAGACTTCTAACTTTACGTCTGCAAAAAATCAAAGCAATCGGTTTAGTAGTTACGGCGTGAAATCAGAACAACTAAACAAACAAACTCACTTTCCGATTTATAATATTAGTAAGGACTAGCTACTTGCGTGTGGTTTCACCCGCTTTACTCGGCTCCTATTGGTCGTAGCGAGATGTTTTGTAGCCTATAGCCTTCCTCGATAAATGGGCTATCCAACACAAAAATAATTATTTAATTCGATTCAGTAGTTTCGGAGATACACGCGTTCAAACAAACAAACAAACAAACAAAATATCAAACTCGTCAGCTTTATAATATTAGTATAGATTGAGACTGTACCACATAGAAAAGTTATGTATATTGACACCTCCAGTTCTGTCTGCTCCCGTAAATATAACGCGTGATACTAAAGTATGGCAGTGATACAGTTTAATGATGCCCGGCTCCCATCTTAAATGTCGTAATGATAAAAACGTTGAGTTCTTCAGATATTACTCGAGTAGGGCTGACACTTTTTGAACACAATCGAACCAACAAAACTATGTAACTAGATAATTGGGATGATGACAGGGTATGCAAATTAAAAATCTGTTTAATCCGTAAGTTAGGTAATGAAAAAATATTAGACACGTATTTTTTTATTTTGTCGTATAATAAAACAATACTTAGATATAACGAATCAAAGTTTAGGAGTGGGAGCCAAAACGTCATTTCTACGTATATTGATGTTCATAGAAGTGACGTCACGCGACATTTCAAATCAATATATCGTCGAAAGTATTCGTTTCTGTAATAAAATAGAAAATACGTGTCTAATGATTTAAAATAATCTATAAGACGGACATTAAAATAAAAATTAGGCATCTACCCTATTGTACTGTGAAGTGTGAACCTGATTGAAAAAGAGTAACCCATGGAGTTTCTTGCTCGTTCTTCTAGAAATCTAGACTTTAGAATTAGTAAATATCTTCAGTTTTAATTTTTTTATCCCTTAAGGGGTGCACATTACGGCACTTAATGCCACTGTACAATGTAACACCCACTTTTTACTATTTATGTTATGAGTCCCATGTAATAAGGGGTGAGCCTATTACCATATACCAGGCACGATTACAAACTCCATGCTACTGAGATTTTTTTTAAAGTTAGTAATACTTTGCCCGTCCCGGGAATCGAACCAGAGACCCCTTGCCCGGCAGTCACACTTACGAACACTCGGCCAAGCAGAGTAGAAAAAATGTATTATAATATAGTTCAATCGAATATACTAATGCTGAATATCTTTTGATGACTAGAAACTATTTTATATAGAAAAATATAATTCTAAAATTGGTATCACTACATAGTATAAAACAAAGTCGCTATCCGCCGTCTATCTGTCCCTATGTATGCTTAGATCTTTAAAACTACGCAACGGATTTTGATGCGGTTTTCTTTTAATAGATAGAGTGATTCTTAAAGAAGGTTTATATGTATAATACATGCATATTGCACCCGTGCGAAGCCGGGGCGGGTTGCTAGTTAAGTATAAAATAAATTATCTAATTCTGCGCCAGCCCTACGTCCCATGCACTTTATATTATCATGACTGGCTCTAATGGAGCCTGCTTGTAATGCACATGTAAGCTAAATATATACTTCTGCTGACCTCTGGCATTGCTCGCACTTACACTCGTATTACAACGCGATTGTGCGCCAAAACTGTCAGTTGAAAGGTTCGTAAAATATAGTCAAAATCAAAGTCAAAATCATTAATTTCAACTAGACCAGGAAGGCACTTTTGAACGTTAGCAATAGAAATTTAAAAGTGTGGGGGTTCTAAGTATTTTTGTCGAGGTGGATAAATGATGCGCTTCATTTTATTTGGAGATATATAATTCTGGTACCAGTTACATGATATATACTTAAAAATGACGATCTACTAGTTCGGTTGCGGGGAGACGACTGCCGTGCGACGCCAGCGCACGTACGCGCTTGGGAACACAAAAGTACCGCGTCAACAGTGTGTCCCTACAAAAAGTGAAGCTATTTGTTTTTATAATAACTATCGTGAGATATACTAAATTAACTAAAAATCGCAGGATACTCACGTGAATATACTGAGAAAAGCTCTACTAGTTTCGAACCACGGAGGGATTCTTCCTCATGAGCAGCGTGCGCGGTCGCGGCGATGTCGCGCAGCCTACTTCATTAAATTTAATTAAAAAAGTTTTTAACCGATTTCAAAAAAATTGATGTTATCAGTTAGACCTCTATGTTTGTCGGCATTTATCTGGCGATTGACTGAACCGATGTCGATGCGGTTTACAAGTGTTTGTTATAGGTACTTGCTTTTTTGAGGGGGAAAATCATCCAATGACTTCTCCTCTCCCGCCTTGGGCTAGGCGGGAAGGAGTGTCAGACTCTTACCGACTAAAAACCACCTCGTTCCTTCTCCTGCACATCGAGTCGGAGCCCCGGTAACCCGCTCTTGCTCGTTCTGCTACCTTCGAATCTACATTTTGGAATGAGCACCTAGCTTCACCTAGCTTCACTGACGGACAGACTGACAGACTATTATTTATTTTGTATTTGTTGACGTTTCAAAAGTACTCAATTATCGTTTAATTGAAATAAATGACTGCCTCGTTGGCCGAGTGGTAGCAAGTGCGACTGCCGGGCAAAGGGTCTCGGGTTCGATTCCTGGGTCGGGCAAAGTATTACTGAGGTTTTTAAAAATTCTCAGTAATAGCACGAAGTCTGGAAGTGTGCCCGGTATATGGCAATAGGCTCACCCCCTATTACATGGGACTCATAACATAAATAGTGAAAAGTGGGTGTTACATTGTACAGTGGCATAATGAGCACCTCTTCCTACTCCTTCGGGGATAAAAGGCGTGATGTTATGTTATGTTATTTAAAAATGTAGGTACCCTATGTAGTGAAGTATTGATATGTCAAAGTATACATGTAACTACAAGTCCTGCCTACCACTTAAACATAAACATAAACTTAAATGAAGCGAGGTCGAACGGTTCAATTGTTGGCATCGGAATTAAATTTATGGGTTCGACGCCCGGGCCGGTAACATTGAAGTTATTGGTCACAGTCATTTGCTTTTGAAAATTGAAGTTCTTTAGATTACTGTTATGTATGTGAATAAGCATACATACATACATACATACAAACTTGATTGCCTCGTTGGTCGAGTGGTCGCAAGTGCGACTGCCAGTCAAGGGAAGTATTACTGGGTGTTTCAAAGTCATAGTCTTAGTCAAAATCATTTATTTCAATTATACCAGAAAGGCACGTTTGAACGTCAATAAAAAAATTAAAAGTGAAGCTATTTGCTCATTCCAATGTGTAGGTTCCTATGTAGAAGAACGAGCAAGAAACTCCATAGGTTACTCTTTTTCAATCAGGTTCACAATACAATTCTCTAGTTTAAAAAAAAAACTTACTATTACATGCGACTCACACTCATATAACATAAATAGTGAAAAGTGGGTGTTACATTGTACAGTGGCATTAAGTGCCGTAATCTGCACCTCTGCCTACCACTTCGGGTATAAAAAGGCGTGATGTTATGTTATGTTTAAAAAAATCTCAGTGTTAGCACAGAGTCTGGAATTGTGCCCGGTATATGGCAATAGGCTCACCTCCTATTACATGGGACTCATAACATAAATAGTGAAAAGTGGGTGTACGGCACGTAATGCCATTGTAAAGTGGTATTAATAAGGTCTCTGGTGTCCATGGTCGACCTTGCTTACCATCAGGTGATCCGTCTGCTCGCTTATACCATAAAATAGAACTGAACACCCTTCGCTTGGCAGTTGAACTTATGATAACACAGACCAATATTCAACAGTTGACTGTACATTTTGAAAAAAAAATCTTAAATTTCTACCTTTATAAAAAGGTCTCAAAAAAGGGGTTCAATCAATAGAATTTAATAATAATTCACACTACATAGACAATACACCGATTGTGCGTGTTCGATTCCCGCGCAGTTTAAGTGTGAATTTATTTCTTGTAGTACCTTTTTAGTTTTTCAAAATGGCGATTGGTTGAGGGGTGAGATCCCTATTCTTTATCCCATAGTGTTAAACGGAGTGAAATTCAAAATTATATTTTTACATTTCATAATATCACGCCTTATTAATCCCAAAAGAGGTACGTAGAGGTGTACTGACTCGACCACGAGACGACGAGACCCCTTACTTGATAATTACACTAAGAACCTCTAGACTGCCTCGTTGGCCTTGGCCGAGTGGTCGCAAGTGCGACTGCCGGGCAAGGGGTCTCGGATTCGATTCCCGGGTCGGACAAAGTTATGCTGGTTTTTTTAAATCTTCTCAATAGTAGGTAGTAGGTAGCACGGAGTCTGGAATTGTGTTCGGTATATGGCAATAGGCTCATCCTCTATTACCATAACATAATAGTGAAAAGTGGGAGTTACTTTGTACAGTGGTATTAAGTGGCATAATATGCACCTCTGCCTACACCTTCGGGGATAAAAGGCGTGAGATTGTGTTATGTAACCCCTTGTGCAACGAGGTAGTCAATTTATCATTTAAAACTTCTATAAGATCGTGTAATACATGAAAAATATTATTATATTAAACGGTTTCAATGAGCTCTATTCTACGAATCAAGCCGTTTCGTTTGATATCCATAATGGAGGTAGTTGTGGAAACAATTAGATTATATTGTATGGTCATCAAGATTAAGAGTGTGTACCAAATATCAGATCGATCTGTCGTCAGGAAGGGGGGGGGGGGGGTATTACAATAACTTGAACCCAAACAAACAAATTGTCAAAAGCACACCTCATTCCTGAGCATAAATCGTAACTATTCCAATCCACATTTTCAAAGTCTTTATCTTCTTGTTTCAGGATCATAAAATGACGTAGTCACCATTCGTCTGCTACTTACGGACCGACACTCGCTTGCCGAGATGTCTGCTTACCTTCGTCTGCTGTTTATATGCGCCGTGGTGATAGCTGCTGCGTCGTTGACGCGAGGTGCCACATGCCCATGGGCGTGTTCCTGCAGGGCAGCGGCGGCTGATTGTGCCCATCGGGGGTTGCTACATGTGCCCAAACGATTGCCTACGGATTCGCATCGATTGTGAGTAGTTTTTGTTATTTGTATTTATTTATTAAACTAATGCCTCGTTTCCCGAGTGGTCGCCAGTGCGACTGCTAGGCAAGGGGGACTTTGTTTTATACTATGTTGTGATTTTTTTGCCGATTGATATAACATCACACCTTTTACCCCGAAGGGATAGGCAGAGGTGCACATTACGGCACTTAATGCCACTGTACAATGTAACACCCACTTTTCACTATTAACGTTATGAGTCCCATGTAATAGGGGGTGAATCTATTGCCGTATACCGGGCACAATGCCAGACTCCGTGCTACTGAAGTTCTTACAAACCCAGTAATACTTTGCCCGACCCGGGAATCGAACCCGAGACCCCTTGCCCGAGTCGCACTTGTGACCACTCGGCCAATAAGGTAGTCTTTATAACCAACTCCCATAAAAATAAAATGCCTACATATTATAGATATGAACGTCTATGAAACTATCTGAATACCCAATAAACACCCATGGACAGGGTCCCATAGAAACGTACCCCAATGTTATGGGAAAAATTCCATCGATATTTTCCTTTGGGAAAATGCCGTGAAATTTGTTACAGAGCTATGTGGAGATTAGATATGGCTACATTTGATGGTTAGTCGGTGTATCTGTTTATTATGCATATACTGATCGGGTATGAATGGGACCGTTCGGTAGGAGACGCCCTAGACGGTCATCCTTACTATTATAAATGGAAAAGTGAGTTTGTTTGTTTGTTTGTTTGTTCCAACTTCACGCCGTAACTACTAAACCGATTGCATTGAATTTTTGCAAACGTAAAGTTAGTAGCCTGGATTAAATAATAGGGTACTTTTTATCCCGAAAAAATTTGATATTCCCAAGGGAAAACAAAAGTATTGGTGTAGATGGCGCTGTATGTATTGGTATATGTCACATAGACTACTTTTTATCCTTTTGTGACGCGAGCGAAGCCGCGGGTAAAAGCTAGTAATATATATATCAGATTGGCGGTATATTAAATAAGGGACAAATTAATCATTTTCAGCAGTAGTGGCATAGGGTCTGAAAATGTGCCTGGTATATGGCAATAGGCTCACCCCATATTACATGGGTCTCATTACATAAGTAGTGAAAAGTGTTACACTGCACAGTGCAATTAAGTGCCTTAATGTGCACCTCTGCCTACCCCTATGGGGACCCTTCCGTTTATGTGAAACGTCAACAAATACAAAATGAATAAGAATTCATGGATAGATAAGAATCATGTATCACACACAAGTCTAAAAAAGACCGGCTGCGACTCCCTATTTTTTGAAGTCGTTTAATTAATATACTAATACTTTCTACTAAGTGTATTAAACACTTAACTGAAAACCACATCAAAAACGGTTCTACCAATCACGAGATATTCGCGCACAAACATACATAATATATTCATACACACAGGTCAAAATGAGAACGCTTTAAATGAAGTCGGTTAAAAACTGGAAATTATTCAATAAATCTTTATTCTACTCTCACTTCAGTGTCGCGGAGAACCTAACGGGTAACCGGGGCTCCGGCTCGACGTGCAGGAGAAGGAACGGGGTGGTTTTTAGTCAGTAAGAGTCTGACACTTCCTCCCGCCTCACCTAGGCGGGAGAAGTCATTCGATGATTATCCCCGCTTAAAAAAAAATCTCACTTCAGTAAAAACAATATTCTGTCTACTCTACAGATACATAGTTCTATGACATATCACTGTGTAGGGAAGAACGCGAGTACTATCGCGCACAAACGTGTTACATTCTTTTTTTACTAAAGCCGTTGAGGAAAAGACGGACATGGTCTCTTGAAATAACGATAGTGGCACCTGGCTACTAGAGGTATAGACTTACACGCAGGACACACATTGACACGAAGGACATCTGTCACGTGACATGGCATGTCATTACAGTTCACACATTACGTTGCACACATAAATACACCACTGACATTGTGGTGCTTCAATCATTTCTATGTGATATTATGTGAGCCTTTTTTCAGCATCCCTGTTTGATACTTTGATTTTTAATACTATTTGTAATACATTTTCTAAGAATACGTATGCACAATGGTGGTTCTTGAATAGAAATATAGGTACGTCATAATACCTTTTGAATACAGAAGGGATCACTTTTCACCAGATATGATGTCCAAAACGTATAAATTAACAAGAAATATAAAAAATTTCACGCGAACGTAGTCGCGGGTTAACAGCTAGTGTAATAATAATTGTAATCAACTGCTCAAGGCTGACGCTGCATTAATAACACGAAAACAAAATTGTTTTATAAGCTTCGTTTAAAAAAACCGACTTCAACCCTCTCTTTATTTGAAGTTGGTTAATTAATATACTAAAACCTTTAAAATATACATCAAAATCGGTTCAGCTAATTGTGTGATAATCACAAACATACATACAGCGAAGAACTTATTTTTTATGAAATCGCTTAAAATCTATAAAAGCTTCTGTTTTTAGGACTATTTACGATCTATATATTATCGGATAGATACAGAGGTATCTCCTTGCCTGACCCGGCAATTGGGTACTGTCCTTATTCAACAATAACCTAGTTCGACTGTTCAATACAATAAAATATTAAAAAATAATCACACTTTCACTAATTGATTTTACGACCAACTTCATTTTAGTATTTTTACAGCATTTTTTTAAGAAATAAGTATGCTGTTTGACTCTAAAAAAACGTGACGTCACAATACACAATCTCGTATAAAATTCATAGAAAACTGTCGTTTTTGACAGTTCAAAAAAACTATTGAATTTGACTAGTTGACAAGTACCTATTCGGACCCAGGACGCTACTAAAAAAAAAATACTAACATGCACATTACAACAGCTTCTTGGACTCAAATCTATTTAAATATATTTATGCACAACACTATTGTCACCGACTGTACCTAAGGGCGGGTTCATATTAGCATCATATTGGTAGCGCACGTGCCGACAATACGTCTTCATGTGTGCGCAGTGCCTTAATATTGTGGTTCCACACAAATTGTTATTGATTTTAACATTTTATTAGTTCAGGGGGCAGGCAGGTATGTTGCAGTTGTAAAAATATTCCAACCATGATAATATTTCAGTCTTTTTTTATAGATTGCCCAAAAAGGTCGGTACTGTATAGTGATAGGGGCTCTTGCTTGCAATAAAAAAATTAAGATACTAGCCTTACTCCCGTCGCGGAGAACCTAACTGGTTACCGGGACTCCGGCTCGACGTGCAGGAGAAGGAACGGGGTGGTTTTTAGTCAGTAAGAGTCTGACACTCCCTCCCGCCTCACCCAGGCGGGAGCAGTCATTCGATGATTTTCCCCCCTTAAAAAAAAGCCTGCTTCGCTCGCATGGTCTACAGGATTAAATTAACTAAAAAAATATGTTTTTTTTTAAGTTCGTAAAGGTTTTTTAGGGCTACTTATTATTTATTTAATTTTATTATTCGAATTTTAGATCATTCAACATAACCTCACGCCTAAGGGATAGGCAGATTACGGCACTTAATGCCACTGTACTATTTAACACCTACGTTTCACTATTTATGTTATGAGTCCCATGTAATAGGGGGTGAGTCTATTGCCATATACCGGACACATTTCCAGACTCCGTGCTACTAGTGTCATTTTTTTTAAAACCCAGTAATATTTTGCTCTACCCTGGAATCGAACCCTAGACCCCATGCCAGGCAGTTGCACTTGAGATAAATAGAAAAAAGAGAAGATAAAATTATTCAATCAAAATAACGAATCCAAAAATTTGCTAATTTTCTACCTGAACCTAACATCAAACTCCGAACCTCACGCATAGCAGTTACACTTAAAATCACAGCACCAACTCCATCTCACTACAATTCACACAAAATATATTTTACACTGAAATAAAAAACAAAATTAATTCCATATTTTTTATAATTTCAAAGAGCCACAACGAATGCATATTCATATCTTTTGAAAGCTTCGCCCCTCAAATTGCACAAAGAGATATGTAGAGGGCGCCACCGTAGCTACTTCCTGTTGCGATAAAAATGGCTGAATTTACATTTCCGGTACAGTCGGAGCGTATGTAAATGAATGAAAAAAAGGTTTTTTTTTGTTTTTCTTTTTTTTTTTAATGGAGTAGTCAGAGGTGGTCGTATACAATGTAACACTCACTTTTCACTATTTATGTTATGAGTCCCATGTAATAGGGGGTGAGCTTATTGCCATATACCGGTTACTAATGACTGTAGTAGGCAGCAATAATATAATTTGTAATACATGGGCATCTAACCCAAGACCCGTGTCGCGGAGAACCTAACGGGTAACCGGGGCTCCGGCTCGAAGTGCAGGAGAAGGAACGGGGTTGTTTTTAGTCAGTAAGAGTCTGACACTCCCTTCCGCTTCACCCAGGCGGGAGCAGTCATTCGATGATTTTCCTCCCTTAAACAAAAAAACCCAAGACCCGTTACTCGGCAGTTGCTTGCAACCTATACGGAATATGTATCAGATACATTGTAGAACATACTTTTTTAAACTGTCAAACACCAAGCGGTCACCGGTGACCGCAACCTATTGTTCTGTAATTGTGTCTACAAAACCGGTACTCGACGAGTTAAAAAGAGTAACAAATGGAGTTTCTTGCTCGTTCTTCTCCATTCGAATCTACGTTTTGGAATGAGCACCTAGCTTCACCTAGCTTCACTGACGGACTGACTGACAGACCATTATTTATTTTGTATTTGTTGACGTTTCAAAAGTACCATATTATGGTTTAATTGAAATAAATGCTTTGACTTTGACTTTGAAAAACCAGTCCACTATCGAGATAGTCAAGATTAAGGAAAGTAGGTGTTTCCTTTCATTTTAATAAGCACCTCTCTGTTGACCTCAAAGGAGACAAAGCCATGATATTATGTTTACCATTTATAAAGAAATGCAGAACCATGCTTCGGCACTGCTGGGCCGGCTCGACCGGAGTGATACCACCAACGAGCTGGAAACCATAGTG